ATCCGTGTCAAGGAAATCCTCGACAGATATTCATCCTGCTTTTGAGCAGATGCCATATGCCAGAAGCAAGGCATCCATGCCAGTGCGAGACGAGGAAATGGGTGAATTGGGGCGCTAATGTTTTTGGTGGGGAGGGGGACGTTCAAAACAGGACCTTTGAAAACTGCTGGTAAGTGACGCTGGAACTCAGCCATGGAGAGAAGGAACCCTAACGAGGGAACAGAAATTTTACACTCCTCCACCATAATTCCTTTCCAGCTGTCCCAAGTTCTGTAACTAGCTCAGTCAGCTGTATGTCCCCTGTAACGACATGAGCGCCGAATTTTTAGAATCGAAGGTGCGATTGTATCTGATCAAATTCCACGCCATCAGGCTTAATTCCGGTGTTCGACCTTCAAGGTCATCATGCATTTATTAGGTTGTCCTAAAAGTCTTTGCCCATTTGTGAATTTCGTATGCCCCATCATAATCGACAACATCCAGCAGGTGACTTGTGAATGCCGTTTGCCTAGAAATCCTGAGCTTTCGAGGCAAAAAACTGGAAGAAGTCCGTTTTCGAGTAGTCCGGAACATAAAGCTCTCCCTCTTTTAGTTGAATCAGCAGCAACAGAAGCAGACGGTATTCTGTTGGGGCCGGATCTGCTGAACACAAATGGCGGGACAGAACATCCCATGAGGGGCTTGGAGACTTTTGCTGGACCTTCTTCAAAATTCTTGACGATCGCTGCTCTAATGTTTTCTACGCATAGTGTTGGAGATCCCATCTGCTTGCCCACATTATTGAACTACAACAGCAGTGAAGTTCGTTGGTAGGAGCTGTCGGCAAACGGATCGCTTGCAGCTTTACCAACTCTGAAAGTTGCCTCTCAAGTTGCAGTGCTGGAATGGACGTCGGAATCTCTGGTTCTACGCGTCTGAGCCAGTGGCGCTCGCGGGTGTGGTTTACTTGAGAACCCACTCCTTGCTATCACCAACAAAGTACCCTCGCCTTTAAATAACCAGAAATTGTGCAATTGCAGAAATTGACGTGGCATCAACGTGGCATCGATTCAAGAACATCTTTGAGCACACGTGACGTCACCTTTTCATCGAGAATTTAGCCACGTGTGCCAATGCCACGTCAATTGCTGCAGTTGCACAATTTGGTCATTTGAAGGCGAGGGTAGTCGTGTCAAACAAGATACATCCGGTAAATCAAAATGTTCATGCAAAATCCGAAGGCTCCTGACTGTGGTCACCTAGGTCACGAAACCTTTTTTGCCATAAAATCTCTTTTTGGGAAGCTATTGAGGAATGGCTATTGTGTTATGATGACTGCAGTAAAGCTGTGTCAGTTAGTGTGCATTGCACCAGAGATTGTTTCCAGACAACTCCAGGAGTTTTGGACAACCAACTGTTTGGCCATGGCGTGAAAGACACTCTGGAGGTCCATCGCAAGACGTAGGGCTCTTGCCGCATCACTTCCACTGATGCGTTTTCTGAGTTTCGAATCAAGACTAGTCAAACTATGCTTTCAATCTAAGTCGATTTTCTTAGCCATAATCGCTGCGAAATACCACGGAAGAAATGCAGTGAAGAGATCATTGACTAATGGTAAGATTTACATATGGTTTACAATGGATGGTCAAAAATTATCCTTGAAGTTTGCAGCATACTCATGGAAATGGGCAGACTTTTGAGAAAACATAATAGAATTTGACGTGTTTTTCACTTTATCTCTGACAACTTCAAGAGTGAAACGATGGAAACCCATCCTCGCTGTTCCTGAACGGGTTCTCCGAAAGTTCACGTTTACGTTATCTTTCAGTAGTCGTAAAAGGAGAAATAAAGCTTCACGCGCACATCAGTTGATTTCTGCCATGCATTCTATGTTCATTCAGAGTCAGATTGGCTGTATTGCAAGCGCTGGTGCTAGCTGTTAGTCGATGAAAGTCAGGGTTTTATTCTCACGGGTTTGAGTCCAAACGAGCAACTCGGAGGGATTGACGGCGTTGGTTTGAGCGAAATTCGACCAAGCACCACCGGACATCTGGAGATTTTATACCTACACACAAACCTCTCTGCTCAATCAATGCTGCAAGAGTAAAGCAAGCGTTTTTTTGCACAGTTGCTTGATCCAAAAAAAAATGAAATATATTTAATAGATATTTTTGATTAGAAATAGCATCACAGAGGTCACGATATCAGAGGACAGTCATTAAAAGCTTTCAAATTAAAAGTTTCAATTGTATATACAGGGAACGATAAGTAAGTACAGTTGTGAAAGATGAAAATTGCACATAAAAAAAGGATTAAACCCATCCTAATCGAATAAATGGACTTCACAATAAAAGCAAGGTTTGAAGTGAAATCCACAAAAACATTGGCCTTACTATGAACACTGAATATAATTGCGCTATACAACACCGTCTTCATCTTCCCCTCTAGTGCTCATCAATGGTCGTCGATCCGAAGACTTCATGAGACCAATCTGGAAGCCTACGGTCAGATATGAGTAGCAAAGGAAACGAAAAGAACGAGACCCACGAACAAGGCCGCAGTCAACTAGCCTTTTTGTCCATTTCTTGCTTCTTCACATACGTATAAGCAGCTGAGCCGAACAGAACGATACCATTACTCGTCCACCTAGAAATAAGCCTTAAGGTATATAAGATTCTTAGCGCGGATTTACACTGCGTATCTCACGCAGAATTTTCCAACGAACTGCATCCGTTTCAAATTTAGGTACCTCATTTTTGTAAAATACAGTCGATATCCGAAAGTTGGGGTGGGTGTGTCACCGGAAGTGACGTGCACTTGATAGAAGTGCGTGGATAAGCTGTTGCCAGCATGCTTTGCTGATATCCAGCGATGTATGTTGGAAGCAGCTTATCCACATAGCTTCTATCAAGTGCACGTCACTTCCGGTGACACGCCCACCCCAACTCACCGATATCGAGTATAAGTTTTTTTTTCAGTATTGGTTTTGATACCTACAATATGCCCATACCTGCAGTAGCCCATGCAAAAGCATACTGCAAAATACTACTAAATCCTCAAGCGTCAGAGGGCAGGGTCAACCGTCCGTTCGAACTGTTCGAACGAAGGGGTCGCATTTTGGTCGGAAGGGGGTCGCAATTTCGAGGACTGCCAGCCACAGGCGCGTGCGTGGCGTATCCGAGGGCAAGAATTGTTTGTGCAGACCGCATTAGATTCGATTAATTATGCACAGAGAGACAGTTTTAGGCAAATTAAGTGTTTTCCTTGAGGAATAAAGAACAGTTGAATGCATCCCTATGAAAGGTTTGACTTCTCGGGGCTGAAATTAAAGTTCTTCGGGACCTAATTTTCTGAGGACGATTCTTCCGGGACCTAATTTTCTGAGGACGATTCTTCTAGACAACGGTAAAACACATAAGAAAGCAGAAATCTCGTAGTCTTCAAAAATGTCTTCGCCCCTCCCCAACAAGTTCTTTGAAGGAAGTTATTATTGCTGAAAGCTCAAAAACTCGCATGTGCTGCTCAAAAACCTATGGGAACAAAATGTTCGAACGTGTGATTTTCTCGGAAAATGGATTTTGAAAAACGGTTTGGTGCTTGTCAGAAAGAGCAAATCCTGCACTTTCACCCCATGAAAAAAGTGCATCACAGAAATGAAAATGAAGTGAGTTATGCCCGCTTAAAGCCCAAAAACTCGCGATTTCAAAAAAAGTGTTCGGCAAAACCCCCCAAAATGTTCGAACGTGTGATTTTCTCGAAAAATGAACTTTGAAAAACGGTTTGGGGCTTGTTAGAAAGAGCAAATCCTGTACTTTCACCCCATGAAAAAAGTGCATCACAGAAATGAAAATGAAGTGAGTTATGGTCGCTGAAAGCCCAAAAACTCGCTTTTGCACGAAAAATGTTCGAACGGGACAATTTTTTGAAAAAGGGGACAATCACTAAACTTTTTATACTATTTTGTAATAGAGAATAATTTTGATACAGGTTTCTAAAATGACGCATACGAGAAAGAATTATGGGCCTTCAAAGTTGGAAGGTGCGCCTTCTCAGAATTTTGGGTTTTCCGCTTCTAACAGAAAGTACTTTCGGGAGAGTTAGGCAATCCTTGTAGTTTTCTGGAAGCGCACCTCAGGCACAATCAAAATCTACCTCAACAAGTCAAAAAAGTACGTCCCAAGAAAGTTATTCCCCTCTAAAATTTTTCTTCGCCGCGTCCCGTTCTTCCAGCGCCCGGGTGATACCTGCCGCGCTCCAAGGCCGACGCGACGACGCGCAGACGCTTTCTGGCGCAACGGATTCATGTCTAGCACTCTTATTAACAAAAACAGGGGGTCGCAACTGGACCCCCTCAGAGAGCTAGGGGGTCGCAAAAATCCCGAAAATGTGCGAACGTGACGGTTGACCCTGTCAGGGGGTCCTCTGCTTCTCCACAGACTAGACTACTTTTCGACGTGTGGTCGTTTCCACTGACCAGAATACTGTGCACCCCATGAGAAGAACCTTCATCTCCAGGCCGTTCGTGGGATTCATGATGCACAACGGCAAACGACTAGGAGGAAAAAACAGCTTGTACTATAACTAAAAAACGTCAACTTTTGTAAAATTAGGTCTAAATCTCAACATTTGCGCTGAAGGAAAAACAGTTGCCTTAAAGGACGAATTTACGATGGAAAAGCAACCCATTCCAAATTGAGGTAGAGATGGTGAGTAGTACCAGAAAGAAAGCGAAACCACGAAAAACGGCCCAGAACCGAGAAATGGGACCCCTTCCTTGTCCGTTGATTTGAGCATTGATGGGACTCTCATCGCTTTGCCCTCTTCAACCCTACGCTCTCTCAGCTATCTAATCACTCGCCACCTATTGTACTACGGCGAGTGATCAGACGATCGGTGGGCGGAGATCGCCGAACTCGCCAACTTTGAGCCATGCTAGATCTCAGAGGTCAAATCTTTCGATGCCGATTGCGTGTCTGTCCGCACCCTCAAGAGATTCACCGCTCTCCCCACTAGGCGATTTCTCCCTTCTTCGACCTTCGTTCTTTCCGTGCAATCCTCCTTTAACTACGAATATGGCATTCATTTGCGGGCCCGCCATCAGTTGCTGGGAACCTTTAAACGTCAACCAAAAGCGCACTGTATTCCCAATGAATTTCTGCGAATCTGTTATCCTGCTTGATGGCAGAAGAGGCGTGGAGGACAGTGCGTGGCAACAGGGTTTTGCATCACCAGGGGTCTGTTGGTTGGCACCAGACTAGTCTGGGCGTATAGAAAACCGTCTTCTACATCGGCTGGTTCCCTTTATGTCATTGTATGGGCACCGCATTAAAATGTCATTATGATTCTGAATGGAAGTCGAGTGCGCGGCGCATCCCAGAAGGGAACGATCAACGCTGATCGCTTAATGTTTTTAGTAATACTTGGAGATCGTATAGCAACTTTATTCGCCATACTTGTAACCAGCATTTCAGAATCTATCGGTCAAAGCGACCAACCAAGATTCCATGTGAATTTAGAGCCTTTTCATAGGAGAAAATATCTTTGAAAACAGCGTTTAGCACAAATCCCGAGAAGTCAGCTCTGACGAATCAAGTCCACAAACACATAATAGAGGTAGTATTCATCAACCAAAATGTTAGGGAATATGTGCATCTAGCACCCTAGCCAAGAGAGTGATCTGCATTATGCACAGAAGGGTCGAACGTACTCGTTGGAACAATCTTCCCTGCACTACCTCTTTCCCATTTATTTCAGTAGCTGTCGCATACATCGCAAGATCTCTAATCGAAATATATCTAATCCAAAATCAAGCTGTAAGCGTGCGCCACAGAGTCTCAAGGTATTACTGCAGTTTCAATCAGGTTGCTCAAATCTGATATGTTACCTCTTTTAATGTTGCGAGCTATCTGCAGCATGTGTATTTGAACAATGCGCGTTTCGTAAGAAAAGCGTTCCGAGGAAAGGGAAAAGGAAAAGAAAGAGGTCCAATAAGACTCGAAAACTTTTTTCACTAATACTTTTGACCTCTACCGTATATCAATTTCGGCTATAGCTACTATTCTACCTTGTCATTATGAACAAGTAGAGTCGCTTATAATGCGTAACCTACGCTCGAAACCGAAGTAAAAGAAGGAAAGAGTGTAAAAGAAAATGAGCACAAACAAACCACATGAACGTCTTAATTTCTGAGAAGTACACTACTGCCATCACAGTTTGAGCAGCAGCCTTGGCTGTACCCGATATGTTGTGAGTTAGGGCAGAAGTGGCCTAAAATTTCGTGAATTCTTGGATATTCTTGATACGCAGTTGATGACGGAGTAAGGGTGACATAAAAACATTTACATAACTTCTTTTGGAAATTATGTCACAATGATTCCTGATAAGGAAAACCTACAATGAGAAGTAACGAAAAAATGTTAGTATAGCTGATTTAGAAAGTCCAGCCAAAGCTGTGAAATATCCCTACTAACTAAATTCAAAGGTAAAAGGACGCAGTACTTTCAGAGTCAACAGATCACTGCGTGCAAACGCGAAGCTCGCGCCGAGATACAACATCGGCCGCATTTTCATCTCACGGTTTTCCTTTTGAATGCAGAATTGGGTCTCATCCAGAAAGAGGGAGGGGTATGTGGTGTGACAGTTCTTGCCGGCTACAGGAATTCCAATTCTTGCTAAAGGAGGGAATCCCGGGGATATGTGAACCACTCCACTTAAATTACGCCCACCCCGGAGCTGGACTTCCCGAGAAAGTGGAATACTTCGTGCAATATGAACATATGAACTGTCGCACCACATGCCTCCCTTACTGATGAGACCCGCAGAATTAAGCGCATTAAAAGACTACAGTAAATCATCTGATAACCATTTATTTGGACATAACATGTATTGCTAGTAACTTTGCTTGCCTTCGCTAGCCAATCGTCGTTTTGTGTTTCATACATCAACATGACATACCTGAATCTGCCAACCGGTGACATAACCCATGAGAAAACCAAATACACCGGACAGCGACATCCACATCCAAAATACTGGGCTAAACAATCGAGGGAAATACAGTAGTTCGCCGAATTCTCCTCTGAAACCATTAAAACATTAATTTAACGAGCTCGCTGCGAATCATTATACTTAAGTTCGGTTCTTACTTGAGTACTTGACTTACAAGAAAAGCATGAAAGGTAGGAAAAGAACCAAAGCGTTGAGATTATTATACATAGTCAATCGCCAAATGGAGTCGCCCACGATAGGAAGAGAACTAAAATTAAATGAATAAGAGAAAACACAATTAGTAAACTTCTATGCATGAAAACAAACAAAACCGCTGTAATGTATGGAATGTGCAAAAAAAACCTCTGCGTGTAGATGGCATTCAGAGCAACACAGAGCGACGCCAAAACACCATATATAACCCCAATAACGGAAAGAGTTCCTGAAAACTATGAAAGTACAAGGAAGCCGAAACATCTCATGGACACAATTCTCATGAAATCCGAGCATTGAATTGAGTGATTCAAACCATATCCGTATCCAAACCTGAGGCATCCTCTTGATCGACACCCATTAGAAATCCGGCCACTATAACGAAACAACAGCCTATAGCTCGCGCGGAAGTTTTCTGGCCCAAAATCAAATAGGTACACACCTAAACCTAATAGTTTATTGAGCTTCGGAAATTGTCAAGTGCGCAAGTGTAATGAAATATCCACTGATTTGAGGATACCAGACTCACCACATTGAACACAGTGGTGAGACAACGTCCCAGATAATAGAATGATACGCCAACGTGTTTAAGGCAAAGGTTATTGAAGGCAATCATTCCAACAAACACCAAAGACAGAGGAAGAATCTGCAACAAGTTTTCCTTGTGAATTGAATTTAAGTTATCAAGGACATGAATCGCTGTCCTACCTTTCTTCATGCAAATGTATCAAGCCAAAACTGCAAAGCAAGGTCAATGTGTTGGAAATATCATTCGAATGGCGAAAACCTTACCCCTTCACATTGCATTGCCCCATTCCCATTTGATTCCAGAAAAGCGTATAAGAACACAACATATTACTACTTCCCAGCGAAAATATCGTAACAATCGTTTTTAAAGGCAGAATTATACGATGAAAAGTTAGCTCATTAAAATAAGGGTAGAGGTGGTCAGTGGAGCAGGGATGAAGAAGAAACCATTTGAAACGGCCCGAAACCCGAGAAATGGGACCCCTTCCTTGCCCGTTGATTTGCGCATTGATGCGACTCTCATCGCTGTGCCCTCTTCAACACTACGCTCTCTCTCTGCTATCTAATCACTCGCCACGTATAGACCTGCGGCGAGTGATTAGATAGTCGGTGGGCGTACCCCGCCAACCGCGCCAAGAGTGAGCCATGCTAGATCGCCGAGGTCAAATCTTTCGCTGCCAATTGCGCGTCGGTCAGCACCCTCAGGAGGTCCGCCTGTCTCCCAACTATGCAATTTTCCCTTCTTTGACCTTCGTTCTTATCGTGAATTCCTCCTTTAACCCTTTGACGACCGCCGTTATGAATGCGTCACTTCACTTCTTTCTAAATTTTTTCATCAATAATCATTAACTCTCCAACAATTTCACTATTAGTAATTAGCGCATTATTCCGCGAATTCGATAATGTATTTGTGTAGTTTTGAAACATAAAAAATGCCAAAATAAACCCTAAAAACGTGTCGCCACCGAGCGAAAGTGTGGCCCACCGGCGGGCCACACGGTCGTCAAAGGGTTAAAGGAGTGATCTCAATACGAAAGCTCCAAAAAGCTCCAAAACCACTGCTAGCACTGGATGTTTCAAGGCAGGAAGAATCCATCATCTCTCTTCGCTGAATTATGTAAGAAGAGAGTGGCGAAAATTCACTTCTTTACTCCTTTTCTTATTCGTTTCTTTTACTTTCAAATCTTAACCATGATAATTCCACCTGATCCTTCATCGGCCCCAAACGATGTGAATCTCGGAAAAAGTGTCTTTATTAATAGCATCTGTAAATACAGCCCACGTGAGCTCAGTTCGTACCTTGTAACTGAGTGGTCAGGTGGCCCACATGATGATGCCATCCTTTTCGAGTTTCCACTCCCGACAAGGGTATTGCAATGCACAGGCATACATTTTAATTAAATAATGAGATTGACATGATGACAAGCTTGTTAGAGGAAGGCAAAGACCGTTTTCGTAAAGTTCAGTGTATCAGTTAGTAACCGCTTCAAGCATATAAAGCAGAATAGAGTTTTGGCATCAACAAACTTCGGCTCACAACATAGATCTTGCCGGCCTTTGATCTCGAGAAGGCAATAGACACGTACGAACTAGAACGATGTTTGGACTGGAGGCTATCAATGATCTCACACAGTGGAAGCCACGGCCTCTTTAATACTGCCTCCAGAGACTTGATGAAAGAAATAAGCAGTTAAAGAGGTAGATCGTGATGGCGAATCACTTTATATTTTGATTCTGGTGCGTACCATGGACATGAGCTTACTTCTGCTTTCCAAGAACATTTCGGGATATTGCATTGAGATTCCAAGTATCTCGTCGCGCTGCGCGAAGTGAACATATTTTGCCCATGCAAATCACTAAGGGCAGCGATAACGAGAGGTTCTAGAGGGATTTACAGGAGAGATGGGGTGCTCAGTGGTACGCTTACTGCAAAAAAGCAGATAAATCCATCAAGAAAATGCAAAAGAGGGCCCTCGTCGTTGGCTGCCTCGCTCGAGTACGGTTGCGGCTAAGAAGGCAGACGTATGAACGGCTTTACCGTTTGGTGGTACCATGCTCAGTTGAGTCACTCCAGATGTGTAGCTGCTGGCAACACAGCTCGTCCAAATCACCAACTGAACTGGTGGGCGGATCGCTTTTGGGGCGGAGTGCTTTCGAAGTCCTGCTCAGCAACCAGCGCACCTTTCGTCGTGAAAGCGCCACACCTCGCGCCTTGGCAGCCAAGTAACTGATTCGTGTGGTGCATATGCTTCAGCAATGCGCTCCCTTTTTATCGTAATCGAATCCTTTGACAAAACGACCTCCCCTCCTCTCTATTTGTAATTGCATGCCCTTATGTAAAGAACAAATTAATAAGCAATAAGCCCTTATGAAAATGACAAATTCGCTTTGCTTCGCCCATGTAATGTTAGAAGCGATACCGCCGCGAGCCTTCGTTCACTTGACTTCACTTCAAAAGCACAAAACATGTGTGAAATAAAAATGTAATTAGACCATAAAAATGACTAAATACGGCTTAATAAAGTCAAGCTGTATTCCTGCACTCAACTCACAAAGAACTTAGATTAGTAACCAGAGATGAAAAAGATTGATCCGGCTGTGTTAACGAAAACCTACCTCTCTGCTGATTTTTCGCAGTTCTGTTATCGGAATTCGTTGGTGTAATAGTTGAAGCAGTTCTTGCAAAAGGATTATAAGGAAGCGAAGGCAACGGGTCGAGCAATTTGAACATTGTTATGAAAGAGGGCGGGGCGTTGCGGGGAGAGTCGAGAATAGCTAAAACCATGATAAAAGAATGCGATTCCACCCCCCCCCCCCCCCAAAACAAAAACAATAACCCCCCCCCACCCCCCCATGCGATTCATTACAAACCTGCAGGTCATTACTGCTCAGGAGGTACTTGTTTAGAAACACTAGCCCTATAGAACAAACCCTGAAAAAAAGATAGAATAAAAGACTTCATGAGTCTCATTACTTGGAATCTTGATTCAAGAAATAGAGACAGAAATGAGTGGCTACTATTTTATTCAAACTTCATTGACAAACCTTACCACCATAGTATTGAGCTATGAGAAACAATTCATCCCAAGCGAAACTCGAAACCGACTCCCCTATATCACTCAAAACCTCGAAACCAACTCCCCTAGATCACTTTATTTTCTTTTTCTTTGTATTTATTGCTGACATTTCACATGATGCACATGCCCACGTAATAAATCAAATCAAATCAAGATAGTTATTAATCTTACACTTGCCCCATGTACCGAAAAGCATCTCTAAAAATGAAGCGAATCAAAATTTACCATCAAAGTTTCGAGCTTCAATCTTTTTCAAACTGGACCGTCGTCAGCCGACCCGATGAAAGGCTCACGCTTAAAAGGTTATCACGAAATTTTGGAGCAGTTTCTCACCTCTCCTTATCGTACAAAAACATGAAATGCAAATATGTGCTGGGGAAAACGAAAGGAAGTGATTAATGTTAGGGTGGTAAAATGTCGTTTTTTTTTAATAATCAATAACTTTTATAATCAAAACAATAACTAAGCATCTCGATCCGAAACACAGTCCCTCATCTTAGAAGTGATGTCCCTACATCTACAGCGCAAATAACTCTTTTCTGAGCTATTCTTCTCGCTTTAATTTAAAGTAGACAGATTCCAAATTCTTACAACGTCGGAATTAGTGAACTTCTTATCTGCTAAAGAGTGCTGCATTGACTAGCACTCTTTAGCAGATAAGAAAAGGTTGCTCAAACTAGTGCGCAAAGTAGGAGCATTCAGCTCGAATTCATTTTTCGCTTTGTGATTTTGGCAACACACACTGCTTGACTGGTAATAGGGTGCCACCGCAAAATTCATTTGCCGCACTAATTTCTCCAGTCACCTGTACATCATTGGTTGCAGCCCCTTGGGATCTCCTATCAATGATTCTTCTGCTTGATGACTTTTCTAAGTTCTTGCTGATGGTTAGCTATAACTTCAAAATGATTTTCATAATTTTTGTCTTCGAGGCTCTTGTCCTCTTTCGGGGCGTAGCAGTTATTGCAAGCATTGCTACAAGAAAAGTCAAGCAACTATTGTATTACAAGCAACTATTAGATTAGAAGACGATTTTGATCCCACATGCTTCTAGAACAAACTCAAACTTCAAGGCAACTGATTCGACGTATGTTGAAGCCTACAAACGGCTAATAATCTACAGCCTCACAAATTTCCGGTGCGATGACCCTAATCTGAAAAGGTCACTTCTTAACACAGCACACTTAGGCTCGAAAGTCCTGCTACTCAAAAGAAAAGGTGAAGCAAAAAACAATCAATCTGAATAAAGTCTGATTTGGCGCAGATGAGTAAGAAGTTTACGAACATCTCAATCAAATCAAAACCAAGAATGTTAGGAACAATTGCTAATAGAAACAACTCACCAGTATGCGCTCACTGCAGTAACCACTTTCAAATAGTGTGACATCTTAGATCCGTCATTGTCATCGGTCATCTTCGGCTGCAAAGCCAATTTAAGCATTGTGTATAGCAAATCCAATAGACTTAGAATAGAACGCAACACGACCGCAGTTTTTGCTTTGACATGAAATGAACCGTACTTTCAG